GCCCTGTCTGGTCAAATGAAAATAGTAAGTTAAATAATTCTTTTAAAAAATCAAAATACATGGGGGCTGGACTTCCACATGGCTGACAGTGGTTTAAGTCCTGGACCCAGTGACTTGCTTTCTCTCTCTGGTGAGTGCATGTGTCCTATAGCAAAATTTTTAAAATAAAAAAATTATTCTTTAAACAAAAAAAAGTACGTGGAGTGGCTTTGTGGTGGAGCAGGGGTGGGCCATTCAAGAATCTACATGGTGACTATGGTTCGAATCCCTAGCCCGGTCAGCCTGAAACACGCTGGGTGTGTAGGCAAGTGCCCAAGATCTGACAGGCTGAGGACTGGAGGAAGGGACCGCCTTGTGACCAGACCGTGTGGAGGGACCTTCTCTTTCTCCTCTCTCTCGTGTGTGTACTCACACACGCTGATGGTTAAAAATTTTACTATCCTTAAAAATCTGTGGGTTCAGGACCCCAGGCCCAACCCACCTGAAACATGCCAGGTCTGCACACACCTGCCAAGGGTTCTAGCGAGCTGGAGCCTGGGGGACGGGGACTGCAGTATGAGCAGACCCCGTGGAGGGGTCTTGCCCAGCCCCGGTGGCACAGGCAGTAGGGTACTGCTGCACAATACCAGCATTGTATGGGAAGGCCCTGGGTTTGGTTCCTGGCTCAACCTGAGCATGCTGGGTGGTGCCCGCGGCTGTGCCTACATCCTGGCCTGGCTGGAACGGGGGTGTGTGGGGAAGGACTATGGTGTGCTAAGACCCCCAGGAAGGTTCCTGTCTCTGTCTCTCTCTCATAAGAGAAATACAAAAACAGGCCTAATTCTGTTCTTTTTTAACGCTCACATCCTGCAAATGGATGTCTCAAGGCAGTCTGTGCCTTTGAGGCCTCCAGACACCACCCAACATGGGGTATTTTGCTGCCGAGAGGACCGAGGTGACTCTGAGTCCATTCAGAAGCGGGGTCTGGGAAGGCTAACTGCCTCTTTCTTCAGGGATTGCCCGACACCCTCTATTTTTTTTCTAGTCTGTCCTAAAACCATGACCAAAGAACCAGACTCTAAGCACTCCGTCTAAAGCAGACAGGATACTGCCCTCTGACCTGCCAGAGCCCCATTTCCTGTCTGCTTTAGACACTTAGTTCATTTAAAAAATATATATTTATTTAATTCTATTTATTATTTTTTTAATTTGACTAGACAGAGAAAGAGAGAAAGGGAAAGGGAAAGCAAGAAAGCCAGCCGCCGGGTCTGGGACCTGAACCGCGGTTGGCCGTGTGGGAGTCCAGCACCTTTAACCACCATGCCACCTGCCGGCCCGTTACGGTATTTTTTAAAGAAGTATTCCCAATGCAAATATTTCTTCCTGGTGACAGGCTGGTCATTATCATACAGTCCAAGCAACACCCAGACTAGCCGGTCACACTGAATCACAAGGCATTTCCAGCAAAGGCAGCGTTAGAACGGAGCAGGACTCACGCCGAGACCTTCCCGGTTCTCAGAATCAAGCGCTGTTTTTACTCAGCCCTCTTTTAAGCAGTCCTCTCCAGCTCCACAATAAACCAGTTCACACACTTCTCGGCTGGCTAAAACTCAGACCTAGGAGCCAGTGTCTACGCAGACTCCTTTACTGAGGGCAGTGCTGGCGGAGCAGCGTCTCCTCAGCGAGACAAAAGCCTAGCCTCGACGTAAACAATCCACCCGCTCCGAGAATAAACATGCCATTCACATACCCTTCTCGGTAAGGGCACACTCCCTTCCAGACAAAGACCGCTTCAAGTATTAAATGAACTTACACAAAGGGATATAATATATAATTACCCGCCGCTTTCTATTTGCATACAAATGAAGCATTGATGTTCTGAAGTCCTCTGCTGAATGCATTTTTCAGAGCTGAGCTAGCTATGCTCCGAGCAAGCAAGCACAGAGCCCCGGGAGGACAGATACGTGAGACCACAACTGAGTATCTGTTCATGGGACAAAAACCCAGCCAGAGGCCTGACCAGACTTGAATTGCACCCCATGAGCCCGCACGCTGTGGGACCAGGTGGCTTTCTCTCCACAGCAGCTGAGGCCGACAACCGCCGGGGCTGGGAGGTACCGACTAACCTCCCGGGGTAACGAGTGTCTGAAAGAGGATGTTCGAAAATGAGAACGGGGTTCTTTACGACATACCCGAACACTGAGAGTCAAGGCCAGAAATCCCAGGAGAAATCACCTTTCAAAGACTACCTCTGCCATCCTTCATTCTGAGTTTTCAAATATGCAATTTCTCTTTGACTCGTCACACACGATGCGCCCTTCAGAATTCCACTAACACCAGATGAGGAAAAAGCACGTGCAGCTACTAAACCCCAACAGGCACACCGATGGTGGGACCAAACAAAGGCGGGGTGGCGTGGGGGCGGGGGATGACACAGTAGTCAGTCTTGATGGAGACCTGGTTGGGGGCAGCTGAGGTGTCGCCGTGGTCCCCCTCTTGGAGCCCTTAACTCTGCTGGATGCCAGGAAGGAGCGGGGCAGAGGCAGGAAACACCCCCTCACTTCCACCCTCTCTGCAGGGAATGCCAAGCTCCTCTCTACCACAGCCCGACAGTCTCCGTGGGAGGAGCAGCGGGGCTGCTGCCACCATGGTCGTCGATGACACACCGGAGGAGGCTGAGATCCCCAGACCAGGCATGACGCCAAGCTGGGCATTTTCAAGGAAATCAGATGTAAGAGGCCGAGTGCGGAGGGCCCAGGCCACTAGAGAAGTACGTGGCAGTTACCACGGAGACGATGGGACCATGGAGCCGGTGGGGCAGGGTGCTGAAGGAGCAAGAGTCACCGCAGCTCACGGTGGGACCCCTGGATGGACAGAGGAGAAAACTGGCAGCTGGACGGAGGCATCTACCACGGCCACGTCTTGGGGTTCACGTGTGTGCACGGAGGTTTCTCTGAATGACTAAGCTCTCGAGAGCGGCTTCCCAATGATCACGTTCTTCAGTGGAAAAAGCCCTTGCTAAGTACGGAGCCTACACAGACGTGGCTGCTCAGACAGGACTAAACTTTGTTTGGGGCAAGGACCGCCCCCCAAACTCTTCCTCTGTAAGAAGAGGGAAGCAGAACTGGCCTCCCTGATCAGGGCAGACAGACACGGTGACACTAACCGGCCTACTCGCAGGAAAAAGATCGCTCAGCTCAGTGACGTCATGTTTGGCCCCAACACGTAACCCCTGTCCTGGGCAGCACGTGCCCACCTTCCAGAAACACAGCACTGCGTACCGGGGGCTGCACTCCCCGCTTGACTTTCACGTCTCCGTCCTCAGTCTCTGCTTATTTGCAGAAGCGGCGCCATCTGCGGGCTGCGGGCTTATCCCTCCCCCCGTCCTTCCTGTATTTCCAGGGGCCTCTGATGAACATCCTCAGCTTGGAAAATTCAAAGCCCGAGTTTCCCCTGCTCAGGCTGGTTCTCTGCTCTCCTTCAAGAAATCAGGAACACAAAAGAGAAGCAGGAAGGAGGAGACGGGAATAATTCCGGAAGCTGGTCCCAGAGGAAATGCCAGGTTTCTGTTTCTTCTATCGAGCTTTCACTTCCCCTCGGCAACTCCCCCCGGCGGCCGGCGCCTGGCAGCAGCCCCTCCGCCTAGCTCAGCTTCTCCATGAGCGCCTCCATCCAGCTGGTTCCGTTCATCAGCTTGGTGGTGGCGATCACGTACTCGGTCCCTCCATCCTCCAACTGGGAGAGGAATCGCAGGGCAGCGATTTCAGCAAAGGTGACGCCCCCGAGGAAAAATACCAGGGTGACTCGGTTTTCTCCTGGTTGGCCTAAAATGTAAACATTTCAGAGTTAAAAACGATCTCGTGGGACCAGCAGTTAGTGTAATGGCTATGTCGCTGGACTCCCACGTAGTCGACGGCAGTTTGCGTCCTGGACCCGGTGGCTTAGAACTCACGCCGGGCGCGTGTGCGTGCGTGCCCAAGATCCCGAGAGGATTGCGGTGTGACCATCCCCCTGGGGGGTGATTTCTCGCTCTCTGTCTGGTTCCTCGCCCCCTTCGTGGCAAGCGCCCGCGCCCTATAGCAAAAGCCCCCCCCCCCAAAAAAAAAATAGCGATCTTGTATGGGTGTCTCTTCCCACGGCTTACCACGCTTCATTGTCCATCAGAACAAAGGGTCAAACATGCCTTGGTACAGTCACCTGAAACTTGGGGACACTGACTTGGATCTCAGGAGTGTTTTCCAAATGCAGAGGTTGAAAGCTGCTCCCCCGAGAGGTGATCACGTCTGGCACTTTTGGTACACGGTACACGTTAGCGACTAACGGAGGCTCGGCCGGCCCTGCCTCCTGCGTGCCTTCCCAGGGGTTTTACAAAGAGCGACGGCTGGACGCGAACCAGGTGAGGTACACGGGGACTCACGTTTCTTTTGCAGTCCTGTGGGCAAGGGCTGCCGTTCTTCGAAGTGGGGCCCCGGGAGTATGCGGAGGACCTCCTCGATGCTCCGCCAGGCGGGCCGGGACCGCACGGCGGGGTAATCCAAGGAGAGGTCCGTCAGTACGGAGACCTGACGCTCCCTGACTGCGGCTTTTGGGTAATCCAAAATTGTCGGACTGGGGTGTGACGGCAGAAACTTAAACTAATCCCCACCCCCATCCCACGTCCAGCTCCGGTCCACCCAGCTGGGGGTTGGCGAGCCTCACCTGCTCGC